GATGGACCTGGAACATACTCTTCTTAGTAAAGTATCTCAAGAATGGGAGAAAAAGTATCCAATGTACTCAGCACTTCTATGAAACCAATTTATACTTACTCACACTTTCTTATGAAAGATAGATCACAACTATAGCCCCGGATGAAGAAGAGAAATGGAGTGGGAAGGGAGGGGATGGAGGAGGTTTGATAGAGGGAGGGTAAATGGTGGGACCACAACTATGAAGCATATTGCAAGGGTACAAGTCACATCTATTAAGTTTAGAACATAAATGTCTTAACACAGTAATCAAGTAAACGAGGTGAAAGCTATATTAATTAGTTTGATGTAAGCACTCCAAATTGTATAAAAAAATAAACCCATTGTACCCCACAAATACATAAATGTATTCATGATCTATGTGTATATGACTTAATAAAAGGAAAAAATAAGTAAAATTAAACATTTGCTCTTGGTCTCATTATACTATGCCCTAAGTACCCAAGATAACCAGCTACTGATTGATAGTTTAATTCAGTGGGTGTGGTCCTTCTGTCAACTGTTTAAATAACCACACACCCAAACACCCAGCATGAGCAATTATTTACATTGTTTTTATTCATTTGACTACCAGTGTCTCTTTAAGAGTTAGTGCAGGAAGACAGCAGTGGTGGCTCACACTTATAATCCAAGCACTTTGGAAGGCTGAAGCAGGAGGACCATTTGAGGCCAGGAGAGTGGGGCCAGCCTGGGCAACATAGCAAGATTCCAGTCTCTACAGATAATTCAAAAACCAGTAGGGTTTACTTTATGGAACTGAGCACAAAAAATAAAAGTACAGTACAAATTTCTTTTCCATTTGTCCACACAGTAAAGGTTCATTTTCTATGAGACAGTGAGTCTTAGATCACTGTGCTTTTAGTCTCAACTGTGAAATTTTACTTAGGACAACAGTATGATTATATGTCATATGTTTGTAAATATTAATTGATAGCTGCCTAAGTTTTATACATATAGATAAGTGTACACATTGTAAGAAAGGAAAAACTGTATTAAAATTGTAATACTCAATATATATCAGGCCAGGTGAGGAGGCTCACACCTGTAATCCTAGCACTCTGGGAGGCCGAGGTGGGTGGATTGGCTGAGCTCACAGTTTTGAGACCAGTATGAGCCAGAGCAAGACCTTGTCTCTAAAAATTAGCCAGGTGTTGTGGCGGGCACCTGTAGTCCCAGCTACTTGGGAGGATGAGGCAAGAGAGTCACTTGAGCCCAAGAGTTTGAGGTTGCTGTGAGCTATGAAGCCACAGCACTCTACCAAGGGTGACAAAATGAAACTCTGTCTCAAAAAATGAACACACAAACAAAAAACCCAAATATATATATATATGTTATGTTGTGTATATATATATATATGTTATCGATACATATATATATATATATAGATAACAAAAGATGCTCAAATCACATTTGGTTTCTGCAAATACAAAAGGCATTCCACCTCTATCTTTTGTTATCAACAAAGATTGATATAAAGAAGGTTCCAAAAGAGGAAATGACCATGTTTTTATCAGAAAAAAAAGTCTTACTTATTGCAGAAACATTAAGTTAATATTGTTAACAAAGAATATATTATAAAACTGGAACTATTTTTTAATTAAGCAACATCCAAATAAACTAATATTTGATACACAATGTTGAAGCATAATCTACAGTCTTTTCCTTCTCTAATAATTGTTTTATACAAACTAAAGTATATCTTCAAACACTAGAGTCCAATGGGGAAAAGATACCAAGTTCTGTTTTGAACTGTTCACAGTAGCTATAAAGCACCCAGAGAATGATAAGAAATGACCATGTGGGGATCAAAGGGAGAGACTGACAGTATATTTTAGGAAATATGGTTAATAGATATGGATTTCCATGCTTTCCCCAGGAGAGGTCAAAAGAGATAGGAGACTCAAAGCTTCCCTGTGCCTGTAGTGTCAAGCGACTCACTTGGGGGTTGGGGGGGTGGTGTAGGTGAGAGGAAGTGCATGTTCTTAATTCAAATCCACCTTGTTTCCACTTCCACTTCCATTACTTCTACACAGTCATGAGTTATTTACTATCTGAGCCTTTCCTATCTTTAAAATAGGAGCATTAACAGACTTTAGGAGGCCATAGTGAAGATTTGTGATCTGTGAGTACAATGGCTGACACATAGGCTCTCATAATAAAGTGTAGAAAGGTACATTTTCCAACATTCATGCAGTTCTTTAAAGCCAATACAGAGGAGAAAGAGAGAAAGGGAAGCTTTTTAAACAAGTCACAACTGAGTATTTGCTTTTCTGTTTAAGTGCAAACATGAAAAATCTCATGGATCAGGGCCCTGATTTAAAAACAAAATATTTTCTTGCACAGATTTCCATTGTGTTATGAGTAAAAATTCAGATAGTGTTTATAAGAATATTTCTGGGATAGTTTATAGTATATATTATACCCAATGTAGTTTATGTTATCTCATGTTTTGTAATCAGCAATATTCAGAGATTAAACTACAAGGTGCACTACTAACAAGAGAGAGGCATTTCCTCAGCTGTTTCTAGAGGGTGGCACAATCCATTCTTACATAATTGTGGCTTGTGAGATTAAGGTAATTTGGGCTACACACCCTTTACTTATTGAGTCATATGTCTCATGATGCTTTACAGTCATTGAGTTTAAGATGTTTTCCGTGAACTGAAAGCTAAACCGCCTTTATTGTCTTCCCCAAGGGAGACTGATTCATCTGCAGTTTTTTGCTCCAGCCTTCCTTTGGTTTTGGGGGATTTTGACCTCCAGCTTAACCCTTGCCTTTCAGTACATTTTCCTTCACACTTAGAGATCTTGGCACATCAGCTCATCTCTGAAAATACAATCACTCCTCAGTTGTTGTTTCAGGGAGGGTTAAGCAATTAGGAGCTTATTTACCTTTGTGGATTTATCCCAGCTTCCAACTCTAGTCTCTCACTGCCTCTCCTACCACTAAGTGGCCATCAACGTTCACTGAAATCTGAAAACTCTTGTGTATTTGTGATCACATGTAACTGGCAGGGTGACCCCATGAGATAACACTTAGGGAAGCAGAGGCTGGACAAGTTAACAAACGTCAAAGTGCTAATTTTCTCCAACTGGAAAACTACTACAGTAGTAGCTACAGAACTATGGACTTTGGACCAGTGTCAGTAAAAGTCCTCTTTCACTAGTATAGAAAGGTGGACAGACGAAACTGATGTATAATAGTAAAGACGTCATGAATTTAAAGCTTTTTATTATTCTGAGGTTATTTGTTTTCTATTATGTGTAATTTAGTGCACGTTTAGTGAATGATCATGTCAATATCAGGCTCAATTTTTACAATCTGTAATATGTTTATTCAATAAAATTGAAAGTTAGAACCTGGTTATCTGTCTCCAATAATGTTCTGAAATGTTAGTGGGCCCAGAGCTGCTGGCACACCCAGTGGTGGAATGCAAAGTGGTGAGGGGCGCCCTTAGCAGGCTTGTGTGCCAGCAGAGTGCAGGGGATGTCAGGCCCAGTCTGGGACTCACAGGCCTCATGGCAGCGACCTCAGAGCTTCCATTCCTTTCTCATTTATGCCAGGCTGCCAGCATAAAGAAGGGAAAGAAGATCAGATTAAAATCTGGCTAACTGTAACTGCTCTGTTAGGGTTTCTAAATCTGAAAGATGCTTAAGAATTAACACATGAAAGAATAATCTAAAACTCTCATAAATATGCACAAAGCACTATATAAGCTAAGCATTCTGCAAAGTGTCAGGAATGCAGCATTAAAAGCGTCTTTCCTCCCAAGGGACTCTGGGGCATAATCTATTTAGCTGGAGGTATGTGTTTGTACAACGTAAGGAGTCCTCATTCCATCTTCACATGGCCTTGGGAGGTGGCACTGTCACTGCTGTCCTTCAGGAAGAAGCTCTCAGGTCAACCACAATAGGACCCTGGAACCAGCAAGGGTCGTCCTTGGGCTCATGTCAGTCCCTCTGGTACCCACCCTCCCCAGTGTGAGTGGGTGATGTGTGTGCAATGTGTGTGACATGTGTGAGTGTTCATGTGTGTGAATGTATGTGAGGTGAGAGTGTGATTGTGGGAGTATGTGCAAGTGTGTGTGAGGGTGAGTGCAAGCTAAGTGTATGCAAGTGTGAGTGTGTAAGAGTGTGTGAGGGTAACAGTATGTGTGAGAGTGAGAATGAGTGTGGGAGTGTATGTATGAAAGTATGAGGATGAGAGTATGATTAAATGTGGGTGCGTGGGAGCTGAGTGTATACAAGTGTGTGCACAAGTATGTGAGGTGAGTGTGTGTGTTTGAGAGTGGTGAGAAAGTGTGTGAGTGTGAGCATTAGTGTGTGTAAGGGTATGTATTGAGTGTGTGTGTGTGTGATATGAAGGTGTGTGACTTGAGTATGTATGTAAGTGTGAGAGTGTTAGGATGAGGGTGTGTGATATGAGTGAATGTGAGTGTGCCATGCAGAGAGTCAGGCTGTGTGCAGGGCACCCCTGACATCTGCCTAGTAAACCCTACGCTATCCACAGCCAGATGTGCTGACTTAGCTGCACTCACAATTCCTGGAGAGATGACACATCGCCTACCTGCGGCAGCAGTGGCTGTGACCAATTTCAGGTCTCCCCCCACCTCCCCTTCTATCACGTGGTGTCATGAGAAAGTGGGGGTTCTCTTAGTAGGGTGAGAGCCCCCGCCCTGCTGGCCGTCCTCCTGCCCATCCTGGTGACCCCTGTCGGTGCTAGGACTGCTGTCCCTGGGGATTTTGTCCCCAAAATCTCTCTCCCCTGGAAAGGGAAGCAACGCCAAACACAGGCTGAAACGAAGGCCAGTGGGAAACCACTGAGGACAGCTTCCTTGGCCCCAGGCTCCTGTCTTCCATGTCCCACAGAGAGAGCCCGCAGGTGCACAGGGGTCGAGGGTGACCTGATGAGGCGGCTCCTGAGAGCGGTGAGTGACCCTGAGTTCCTCTCTCACTCCAAGGCCAGCACGGGGACCCTCGAGCTCAAGAATTCTGAATCCATACGTGGTGTGCTTCATCGTCGTCGCGGGGGTGGCCATCCTAGCAGTGGCAATAGCGCTACTCGTTTACTTCTTAGCTTTCGGTAAGTGCCAGATTTTTACTTTTCAGTCTAAGTAACTAAACGTATTTTTGGATTAAAAGGTTGCCATTCTCTGATTGTTGCTTTTATTACTTATTGTAACGGAATTATATATCCTATCATTCTCTCTAGATATACATTCATATCTATATTTTACTGTTAGTACTTTTTGCCATTTTCAGTAAAATGGCAAAAAGCCTTTTAGTATACCAAGCCTTTAGTATACCAGCCTTTTTAGTATACCAAGTGTTGTTACCCAGGCACGAATAATTCTTTTTTTTTTTTTTTTTATTGAACGGTAACTATGTACATTAATGCACTTCTAGGGTACAGTGTGGGGTTTTCACATGCAATCTGAAATACTTCCATCAACTGGTCAACACAGCCTTCATGTCATTTTCTCAGTTATTGCTTTAAAACATTCACATTCTACTCTTAGAAAGATTCACCTTACCTTATAGGGGCACGAATAATTCTAAGAAAAAACTCTTGATACCTTTCTGATGAGAAACTTTTCCCATTTTATTTTTCACGAATGCCATGATTTCCTTCTTCATTTAATAACCAGATAAAATTATCAAAATCAAATACTGCAAAGAGCTTTGTTTCAACACCTAAAATTTGGATTATTTATGTGTTCATAATTCATGCTCAACCTTTCAAAAACTAGTTACAGGCAGGACAGCCTGTATAATGATCAAGAAACAAGTTTGCAGTTGAGAAGTAGAAAATGATAAAGCCAAACTTTTAAAAAGATTATGTTCTTTTGTTATTTGTTTCTCTTATTTTATTTTTTAATAATTACATCACAAAAAAATAAAAAACAAGAACAAGAAAAAATAACATGAAGAGTATAAATACGCTACTCATTCATAAAGAACTTTCCCCAAAAATATTGGTGAATGTTCTGTCAGATGACTTAAAATAGATGTGTAAAAGTGTTAAATTTTACTAGATATTACATATTATGATCTGTTTTTCACTTAAAAATATACTTTGAGGTTATTTTTATTTCAGTTATAATTCTGTTAAATTATTTAAATCATTTAGATACATAATTCTGCTAAATAACTCAAATTATTTAAATCATTAAATCATGCAGGTGAGCATGCGGGTGTGAATGTGGAGGGAAAAAGAGAGAGAACATAATTTATAGTATGTTCTATTGTAAGGAAGCCAAAATGCAAAGGTTGTCTCGCAACCCTGCGAGAGAAGGGAGAGTTGACCTGAGTGGAAATGGTGGGAAATGGAGAAATAAAGCCAAGAAAGAGAGAGATACAAAGAAAGACAGGAGGCAAGAGATAAGATGGGAGTACTAACACAGCTAATGGCTGCAGCCAGCACCTGAACTGTGGAAACAGCTTTACTTATACAGCATCTTAACAAGGTTTCATAAATCTTAGCATATGGGGTAGAGATCATCCCTAAAGAGGGAAAACTATGTGCTTGCCAATAATAGGAAAAGTATGCATGGGCTATGTGACTTCTGGCAGATAGAAAGAATGTTGTTAAAGGAGGAGAAGTGATTGGGGGTCGCTCTCTGAGCATTTCCCAGGCTGTGGGGGCCCTGCCACCCACATCCTGCTCCCTACAGGTTGAAATGAAATACTCCAAGAGTGCAATAAAATTACTAACATTAGAAAAACCAATAATAAGGAATAATCATTTCAAGCCAATAAAATGTAAAGAATGTGACTAAGTTTGCTTTTGACTACATTTTGCTATAAAATTACCTGGATTCACCTATCCCTAAAGTGAATTATAGAGGCAGGGAAAAGAGATATTGCGTTTCAGATGAAATGAGTGAATTTTCTCTCTCAGTGACACCACTGTCATGCACACACACAAAGAGGAGAACCCATGGTAAGAGCTCTTCAATCCAGTGATCACCACCCCCTCCAAATGACCCATCCATCCACTACCAGGGACCTGCCTTCCCCCAGGACCTCCAGCTCTCCTGGATCAAGGGGATTCTTTGCATAAATAATGTATAACATTGCTCAAGAGAGAGCAGGTTCTATTAGGTTATTTACATGTTTTTGAATTGTGTACAGGTATGTTTTAAGGATTTTTATCTCCTTCACACAGCTAAACATGTCCTCTGGAGGACCCTTTTTTGTGAAAATAATTCACATTGAATAGCTAGATCAGATATCTTATCAGAAGACTTATTTTCTTACTTATTCCAGAAAGACTAATGGCAAATCACTAATTCCCCTATATAGAATATTATTTGAAATAATTTTTAAAACTATTCAGAATTACTTTGGGCTTTTTCTTAATGGCATATAAATAAGAGGATATTATAAATATTCATTAATATATTTGGAATGAATAAACCATAAATCCCCCTAAAATATCATAAAAATGAAAATTATAGTGTTTCTGAACAATTTTTAATTTCTTAAACAATTACTCTGATTTTCATACATCTTAAATAGTTCTGTCTTTGCTAACTTTTTTAAAATTGAAAAAATATTAATTTTATTATCTTTACTTTTATATTAAGCATATAGTTTTCTTTCTTTCTTTTTTCAAATAGAGCCTCATTCTGTTGCCTGGGGTAGAGTGCTGAACCTCAAACTCCTAAGTTAAAGTGATCCTCCTGCCTCAGCTTCCACCACAACAGCTGGCTAACTTTTTTTTTCTATTTTTAGTAGAGAGAAGGTCTCGCTCTTGCTCAGGCTGATCTCAAACTCCTGAGCTCAGGCCGTCTGCTAATCTGGGCCTCCCAGAGTGCTGGGATTACAGGTGTAAGCCATCACACCTGGCCCAGAGTTTTCTTTCTTTCAAAGACAGCTTTTGAATTGTGTAATACAGTTTCTCATAATCCTGAATAAAGTAAAGATTCAGTTATTTAGTAAAATGAGACTGATTCTGCCTTTTCTTTCTTTTCCAGATGAAAAATCTTACTTCTATAGAAGCAGCTTTCAAATCCTAAATGTTGAATATAATAACAAATTAAATTCACCAGCTACACAGGAATACAGGACTTTGAGTGGAAGAATTGAAGCTCTAGTAAGTTAATATTTGTCCTTGCTCTTTATCATTTATAAAATTAATACAGGGTATCCATAAAGTTCACATGCTAAGCTTAAATTACACATGAACTTCATGAACATCCTGTATAATAAACCTCATATTTTGTGATGTAGTTTCAATTGCCAGATACTCTATGTATTTTCCTTCCTTGAGTGGTGAAAGATGTGTTTCTAGGTGCTTTTTACCAAGTTAGTTTACAAGTATACTAGTTCTTACATCTTAAGTCATGAGTAAAAAGTGTTACAGGGGCCATTAGTAAATAGCCATTTTATTTGGTTATGATCTCAAAGGCTGGAAATCTATCATTTGTATAATCAAACATTGAGAGTACCCTTTTTTTTTTTTCAGTTTTTGGCCGGGGCTGGGTTTGAACCCGCCACCTCCAGCATATGGGGCCGGCTCCCTACTCCTTTGAGCCACAGGTGCCACCCAGAGAGTGCCTTTTTACATTATTTTTATTTTGTCCTCTTCCTGCTTTCCTTATCCAACTAAACATACAAGGTAGTAAATGGTAAAAGACACTTTTACCATATCAGTAATAACATAGTTTGTACAATATCACACGCTCAATGGTAGACACAGAAGCCTGACTGGAAACACACAAAGTAAGCCTAGACTCTCCCTGAAGGGGCCCTCACCCTCACTTTTGCTCATATTCCATGCATCACATGCCTCCTTGTGCCCACTGCTGCCTCCCAGGACACTTCAAAAGCCAACCTGTGACACACATGTATCACACCAGACCAGGGTCCTGTCCTTCTCAGCCCTTCAGAGTTAGAGCAGACTAGTCTCAGAGTTGCTCATTCACCCTCACCTTTTTAAAGAGTCCCACAAATATAAATTACGTGATAGTTCTAACTTTAGCATGTAACAAAAATCATTTGGCAGTCTTGTGGAATCTCAGAATTCTTGGCCCCAGTGTCAGTTTCTGATTTAGTAGGTCTGGATGGACTGAAGAACATGCATTTTTAGCAAGTTCTTATGGGATGCTGTTGCTCACAGACCAGGGACCACACTGAAGACACAAGCCAGTCTGTGGTGAGAACTAGCACCACTGGGGACTGAACTGCTGGCTTATCTAACACATTTTTCCTAGAGGGAAGCTTTGCTGAGAGCCACATTACAAGAAGACTGCTTGGTGAGGGTGGAATAGAGCAGAGAAGTTAGACATGCCCATTAGATATTTGATGAGATTGGAATTATCAGCTATATAGGATGATCTGGGGAGAGAATCTAGGCCCAGAGGTAGAGAACTAACACTGGAGAGCCAGAGTTTATCATGTCAGAATTGGGAGTTATGTTGTGGCATGACAGCAACACAGACAGGAGTCAATGGAGAGGGGTGTATAAGAAAACTAGCTATATTCAGTCATGGAGACCAGAGATGATTTCTCATCTAAGATGAGGGAAATGAGTGGGGCACACAGGGCTAAAACATGAGCCAAGAGAGGCGTGAGAAGGTGCTTAGCTAACAAGCCTGGATTTTCTTTTATAGGAAAAAAATGCCTTAAATTGAAGATAAGGAAGGAAAAAGACTCTGATGGATCTTGCAACATAACAAGATCTCATCTCTTAAAAATGAAAAGAAATTACCTGATGTTAAAAATAGCCTATGCTGCTTAGGCATGAACCAGAAATGACAAAAAATGAACTGCCCTTTGCTTCTTTTTTTCCTTCTCTTCAAGCTTTCCCTTGCTACTCATTTTGCTCTGGTTTCATCCATTTAAATCACTGTTAGGGGGAAATCACACATGGTGAGCTGTCAGTGGACTTCCCAGTGCTGGCTCCTCCCCAAATCCCTCAGTAACAGCCACCAGAACCACATAAATCAGGTCCTGTGGAAGAATGAGGAGCACATCTGAAGTCTCCAGCAACTCCATGAAGATGTGTCCTGTCCACTGCCACATATGGGGAAGGGAGGAAGAGGCAGGTGCTGTACCAAAGGACACAGTGCCCTCCCAAACCAGCACGTTGAAATGAGCTAAAACTCAGTCCTCTTCCTTACTAACGCAATTCTCACATTGCAGGGTTGGGAGCAAAGAGAGGGAGAACTGTGACTACAGAGAGATTTTTTTCCTTTCTTTTTATAGATTACTAAAACATTCAAAGAATCAAATTTAAGAAATCAATTCATCAGAGCTCATGTCATCAAACTGAGGTGAGTGAAACTATATCAAAAAATATTTAAGTACAAATAACAATTTGGCACATTTGACTTTCATTCACAAAATCAATAATGAGTGATGGGTTCACACAATTTGTTGAAATATTATGAAAATTGAATCCTTGGCAGCTTAAAAAAACAATGCCCCTCCCAAAACAACATCACATATGATCTATTTAGCTACTAATATAGACAACCATATTACTCTATTCGTAGAGGAAGAAGGAGGGAAGGGTGCAGTGACAGGCCACCTGCTGCATAAGTCCCAAAAGGTTCCTCACAGTGCAGCCCACTTAAACTGCTCCTCCCAAAGCCATGCAATGCTGTGGTCTCACTGAAGATCAGGACACCATAACCAGAATCAAAAGGGGCTTTTTGGTTTTAACTGTTTGTAATGCTATAATAAAAGGTGCTGTTCCCAAATCTAAAACATTGGTCATAGATTAATAAGAGGACCAGCACACACGTGCTTGTTATCTGTCCATATGCTGTGAGGAATAAGCCTCAACTGAGATCTTCACCTTTACCAACCTCCCACAAATGCCTGGAAGCATGCACACATGTCCATATCACCCAACTCTTCAAATAGTATGGAAAAGTTCTTTGGTAGTGGGAGGAGTGATACTAAGTCTTTCTCAAATACTAACATCATAGGAAAATTACTTCTTATCCTCTGGAGAGTTACCTGCTAAGTGCTCAGGGTCCAGAGGAGTTAGAGGGGTAGGTAGAGTCTGTGGAGCAGGCACTTTGCCAAGTGAGCTTCAGTTAGTCAGCAGGCGCATCCTCATGATGGCCATACTAGACACTAGCTCGAAGGTAAATAAGTAGTAGGACCCAGTGTGCAGCTCACCTCGCCCCTCCTGTGTTCAATTCCTACTTACCACTCATTCCTCTGAAGAATGGCTTCAACCCCACCATGAAGTGTAAACTGATCTTGCCAAGTTCAACACTGACGTCCAAATCACAAAATCCAAAGGGACCTTGGACGTCCCAAGGTGTCACTGGCCTGAATACCCCTAAGACAGGACTGTGTCTGGGTCTGTGGCTGCAGCCCTGCTGCCGCCAGTTCCCCAGCTGCACCTGCCGCCCCGCTTGCTCCCGCGCGGTGGCTCTGCAAAGCTTCTGCACTCCCTGGAGGTGGCCAGGCCTCATCTGCTCAGTTCAGTCTCTGTGGCTTCCTTGCTGATCACTCGCTGAATAGCCTCAAAGTTGTGTCTGGCCAGCCCTCTAAATACTAGTGTCTCTGCCTAGCTGCCCTCTTGATGTCGCACATGGGTGTGCTAGTTAGCCCTTCTAGTCTTACTGTCCTTTTACTGTTTCTGTGCTCTTCTTTGGCATGGCTTTGGGTATACATTGAGCTTTCTCATGTCTCTTAACCTCTATTTGATCTTTTTCATCTCTATCTGTGTTAGATTCTGTGTAATTTTTTCATCTTTTTCAATTAACACATTGTCACACTAGAAAGAAAAAAAAATTTCCTTGTGGCCACAGTATTTTATAGGTCAAGATAGGTCAGTAGACATGTGAGTTTGTATGTATCATGAGGCCCTGGGATCAAAAGTAGCATTAGTTAAATACAACTCACATAGTAGTTAATTTGTTAACTAATTTCTCTTCAACTTCAACTAGTATTCTGTGTGACCTATTTATTTACTTCAGCTTCGGTGAGTATGTTTTTCTGTCTGCAAGCTCTATTTGTTTCTTTTGAGAATGTGCCTAGTCTTTTAAATAATGTCTTCTACTCAGCTCAAATTTATGATTCCTTCACATATGTCATTAATCATTTCAAACATACTTAACTAATATATTTAATGATCTGTTAATTCTGTTACGGGAAGTTTTTAAGGATGCTCTTCTTACTCTTTTGACTCTGGTTGGTGATGCAAGGGTCACACTGGAATTGTACACATCTCTTTAATCACACTACTAAGTGGGTCCCATGCAGCCTGGATTTAATACACATATCTCCAGAGTATTTGTTCTGTTAGAGAAATCAAAAGCAGGTGGGTTGTCTTTTTAGTAATTTCTTAGCTTAACAGTTCTGGGACTACGTGGCTGATACTAATGCAGATTCAGACATTATGCAGCCAGGGCCCCTGATTAAAAATTCTCAGGTGAGACTTCTTTTTTCTATCTAGAGCTAAATCTTGGAGACAGATAAACTTCTTTCTATTTTATAAGAGAATAAACAGAATTTCTTTTTCATCTTCATTCATGCTTTCACTGGGGGCTTAGTTTTTTGAGACCTTGGTCTTGTTCTGACACTTCAAATTCAGCTCCTTAAGTGTCCAAATGCTATTGAGTGTTCAAGTTCAACTTCCTAATTGCCCTAATGCTATTAAGTAGTCTAGTTTTACCACATAATACTCATGTTCTTCTTTATTTTGGGTCCTCATGGAGTTTCCTTACTTTCAGGTGAGCTCAGCCTGGTATAGGAAATGGAATTTATTGTATATTATTTAGCACTTTTGTTTCTCTTATATGGAAAGAGTTTTTATTATTTAAGCTTCCCTATTGCTGGATGTGGAAGTTGTCATTATGCCATTACTTGTTCACTGTCTGCTTCTCCATGTAAACTGCAAGACCTGTGAGATGGCAATGGTGACTCTGGGCCACATTAGAACAGAGCCCAGCACAAGAAGGTGCTTATCAAATATTTGTTAGATAAATATTAAATTAAATTAGTGTATGTTCTATCAGAGAAATCAAAAGCAGATGGGTTGTCCTTTTAGTAATTTCTTAGCCTAACAGTTCTGGGGCTACTATTTAGTAATACTAAATATTAGGTCAGAACTGTCAATTGAGATGAGAGGAAGACACCGAGAGTGAATATGAGAACATCAAAACAGAATTTGTTTAATGCACATCTTCAGAACAGAGAATAGCTAATGTCAGATGTAGGAAGTAGTGATGTGGTGAATTTCATGGAAGAAAGAGTGATTTATCTATGTGTTGATAATCAAAATCTTTAATCAGCTTTTCAAGATTTATTATGAGGAATATCTGTAATTAATTGAAATGGATGATCCAATCTCAATATCCAACAAAAGTTAAAATTAGCCATTGCCATTTTAGCCAGATAACTGGACCTAGATAACTGCAAGTTGAGTCTCTAACTCACACATATTTGAAAACTCATCACTTTATAAGATTGTTTAAGGAGATGAGTCTTACTTAAAATTGATTAAGTCTAATATTAACTAATACTTAAAATTATACTACAGAGGGTACAGGGTACCATAAATTGAAATCAGTATTGTGGGATTACATCATGATATAAGATTACATATGAAAACACTGTTATATGATAAAAGGCTCAATGAAAAAGAATATGGAAATAGGACAGTTGAAAATTACCATACTTATTCATTGTTGAAAATATGTTTTAATTTATAGGCAAAGTGATGGTGGTGTGATGGCAGATATTGTCATGAAATTTCGATTCACTAGAAATAACTATGGAGCAACAATGAAAAACAGAATTGAATCTATTTTACACCAAATGTTGAATAACTCTGGAAACTTGGAAATAAACCTTCCATCTGAAGTAACATGCAAGTACCATTTTTACAAACTCTTTATTCCAACATATCTCTCAAGTTTACCAAGTCACATTAGCATTTTAATTAAATGAGAGACTTTTCTTTGGAATTAAACTTTATGAAAACAATATATTAAAAAGCTAAATATAACAGATAGCTCTCTAATACAAAACATTCTAATATTTAAGAATGATTTGGCATTCATATCACAAATTTTATTTGTTAAGATTCTTATTAATTGCTCGGTGCCTGTAGGTCTGTGGTTAGGGCATCAGCCACATACACTCGGAGCTGGTGGGTTTGAACCTGGCCTGAGCCTGCTAAACAATGACAACTACAACAAAAAAATAGCTAGGCATTGTGGCGAGTGCCTATAGTCCCTGCTACTGGGAGGCTAGGGCAAGAGAATTGCTTGAGCCTAAGAGTTTGATGTTGCTGTGAGTTGTGACACTACAGCACTCTATCAAGGGCGACATAGTGAGACTCTGTCTTAAGAAAAAAAAATTCTTATTAATTATCCCTCCAATACTTCTTGTGAGGAACACAGTTGTCATATGTGCCGTCCATGGCCACACAGTGCAAAGGGTAAGTAGATGCTCAAGATCAGAGAACTCTTATTCATGATCCACCTCACAAACTCTTTTATTTTTCTTCATAATAGAACAATTGAAATTACAAAGTTAGTTATTTAATTTTTGTATTGTTTGGCTGTATCTTACTATGTAAACTTCCTAAAAGTAAGAATCAGTCTTTCTTCTTCATCCTGCTATCCTTCCCTCACCCAATATCTAGCAAATAACATATTCAAAGAATAGTTATTGTGTGACTGAAAGAAAAGAAATACTTAATAAGTGCATAGAATTTAGGGACACCCCTCCAACTTTGTCATGTTCCACTAGCCTAATACACCATGATTTCCTCATAATGTGCTCAAGATTAAAGGGATTTTGGTGGCTCCCACACTGGACTGATATGTACCTGTTACAATTGTACTGATGGTTAAAACGTTGAAATGCTTTCCTTTTAGTTGACAATCACTACCTTCAGCCTACAAAGTTGTCTTTCAAGAGCCTTCAAATACCCTCATCCTCACCTACTCCCAGCTTCTCCCCTGCAACTAGTCAAGTCTGGCAGCAGAAACTCTAAGACCTTCTCCAACTCCATAACCTGCTGCAGCCTCTTTGACTGGCTGAAGGTTTATGCACTGGTTTATTGAGTAACTGCATGTTACCTCTGCCATCACACAGTAGGGAATTCTTTCAAAAGCACTTCCCAATTGTTTTTCACCTGTTCAGTGTTGTCCTAGACAGTGTGGGGACACAAGAACAACATAGTGGTGTCTACCTCCTGGGAGCTCATGGTCTAGTTAAAGCAGAAGATGTCACAACTCAAGAGTGTGACAAGCAGGGCAGCATAGGACCAGATGCCCCATGTGTGCACAGACAGCAACCACTGCAGGGATCCAGGAAAGAAAGAGAACCGAGGGCAAATTGATTAAATTGGGATCTCTCAGCAAAGCTCTATGAAGGAGGACAAGCTTTAACTTTGAAATATGGGTAGGATTTCCATATTTTGAAATGAGAGAAAGAAAGCTGCCAGAGAAGGAGAGTCCAGGGAAATTAATCTGCAGTAAAATCAAAGCTTTGATAGAGCAGTGAAGAGAGGGGCTTGCTGGAATGGTAGGTTTGTGTTGTCACCATTTTCATTGTTGTCACCAAAACATTTGGTGAGCACTTACTATTTCTCAGGCATGGCTTTAAGTGCCTTGTATGTATTTTTCCTTTTATTTAATCCTTACAAAAAACACATATTATTTCCTCCCTGATAGCTTCTGGGGTTGTCTTAGGTGATACTGGTTACCTCCTCCTTTCTTTCCACTTTGCCCTTAAATTTTTTCAAATGAGTCCTTGATTTTCTATCTGTAAATTGTGTAAGGGCAGGGTCCATGTTGCTCACTGCTACATCTGTACCTGTGGAGCAGTGCCGGCCGAGTGAGCAGTGCGTTTGGACCACATGGGTGAGAGGTCAGGTTCTCTTACAGCATTTGTCACACTGTCTCCAATGACTTGCTTGTGATTCTGTTTTCTGACTAAAACAGAACTAGTAACTTGAAAGCAGAGACATCTAGTAAGTATTTGATGAGAAATTAAAGCATAAATATTAGTATGCATAATAACAAATTGGGACAGTGTAAACAAAATACCTGGGAGGATTGTGACTCAGAGACTGCAACAGGTGTGGGCTGGAACCTGGAAGTCTCCACTTTGGCAAACCCTCCACTGGTTCGGACTTGGTTGTTTGAGTACTGCAAGAAATCACATATAGCCTTTGCTGTGTTGACCTTATTCTCTCCCTTTTGCTTTCAATGCTAGCAATTTCTGACCAGGACACAGAACAGATTGTATCCACTACAGGTAAGCTTTAAAATTATTTTGTAAACATACTTCGTCCAAAATATAAAGAGTAAAATCGCCAAGTCTTCTGTGTTCTTTACTAAGGCAATGTTTATGAAGCTGGAACTTTTGTTAGTTCACTACAGTGGGCTGGCTGACCCTGCTGACCCCACTGGCCCCTAGACTGATGTTTATGTCCCTCCTTCTGAGAGGAAAGAAGCAGCAGAGGTCACAACCCATTCTGTGCTCCAGCTCCACCTTATAAACCTTTCCCTAAAGTGATGAGAAACTCTCACTGCCCTGGCC